ACGATTAAAATTGTGTTTACATCCCCAAAACTGTCTGTTCATGGGAGACAACACTGCTCGATGTCTGACGATTGTAATTATAATCATGTTCAAGTTAGATATTCAAATGTAAATTGTGCTTTTCTTTTTCTTTTTTCTTTTTTTTTTTTTTTTTCCGACTTATTTTAGGACGTGAATTTTTACCTTCGCCGGGACCAGCAAGGCGCAGCCTGGCGCGGTGGAGTGTAACGAATTCGGAGGAATTCTTAGAGCTGAACATGTTTTTTGAAAAATCTGAAATGGCAATTGACACGGTGTTTTTTCATGGCCAGAGGAGCCAGTGTTTTCTTCTAGAAATAAGAAAAAAAAAATTAGACTGATCACCTCATTTTGATGCACAGACGGGTTTCAGTGCAGCTGGAATATCAGGGAAGAGGTGCAGGACAGTGAATGCAGGCACAGGTTATGCTGCAGTATTAATCTTCCCCTCTGTATTTCATCGCTAAGGGGACCAGCAAGAGTGACTTAATTTCATTTTTTTTTCCCATGTACAAAACGCATCAATTTCTCCCTTTCTCACTGGCGCTTGTTCCGCCGCCTCTCAAAGCTTTCCGGGTAAAAAAAAAAAAAAAAAAATAATAATTTAAACCAATGAGAGTGTAAATAGGTCACTTCAGGAAAGGCTCTGGCGGGTGGAGGATGTGACACCCGCACCGAACTCCATCACCCTGAGCAGCTCTGAGCCACCCCGAGCGGCTCCGGGTGGCCCCGACACCGGGGGGAGGACCCGGGCCGGTGTCTCGCCACCTCCTCAGAGCGGGGAGGGGGCGCAGCCACCTTTGCAGAGTTTGATTTTTATTATTTTTATGGTTTTTTCCTCTCCCCGGCCGCCAGCAGACCCGCTGCTGGGAAGGCGAACTGTCCCCGCCGCCTGCCCGGGACGGAGGATGCTCGGAGGGGGCTCCCCCCGGGCCCCCCGTTGTCCCCGCAGCCCCGGGGCTCCCGGCTGTCCTTAACCGCCCCCTTGTGCCGGCTGCTCGCAGGGAGCGGGGCTCGGGAGGTGTCGGAATTCCTCGGCAGGAGGGATGCGAGGAGCGCTGCTCCGTGGCGTGGGTGCGAGGCAGCTCCTCATCATCCCGTGGGTGCGCTCCCGCCGCTAATTAGCGGCAGATTAGCGGGGAAAATCCCCAGGGAAGCGTGTGACATTCTCAGCGGCTGATCTGCGACCCCGCGGAGCGCAGCCCCGTCCTGTGCCGCCGGGTTCTTGCGTAGTTGAAAATATTAATTCCCGGTTTAATCCCGTGCGCAGAAACAAGGAGGGATTGATGCGAAAATCCTCGGCAAGGGGCGACTCGGGGCGTGCGGCAGCGCCCGGACAAGCTGGACGGGCTCAACCATTTTAATCTTCTTTACCTCTTGAAAATATTTGTACAAAACAGCTCGCCAAGCGCCTTTCCCCTCTCCCGTGCCCCCGTGGGTGCCCACCCGAGCCCGGGGCTCCCGGGAGGGCCACGCGGGGAGCGGAGCCGGGCAGTTCCCACGCAGCGCTTCACCTGGAGCGTGTTTCCCAAGCCCGCCTCGTAGAACACCTGGGAACACATGGCTTGTGCTGGAGATGCCAAGGAACCCACCCGTAAATCCCTGCCACTCCAGCGCCCCCTCCCCAGAGCTGCGGGGACCCCCCCGCCCCACGCCGCGCTGAAATCTCTGTTAGATGGAGGAGCAAAGAGGGGCCAGGGCGGAGGGGATCAACCCCGAGCAGGCTCATTTTGGGACCCACCGCTCCCCTGTGCCCCCAGACCCCCCAGACGCGGCCATGCAGCCCCGCGGGTCCCTGTCCCCTGGCACGCGTGTGCTGCAGAGGGGCTTGGCTGCTTCTTCCCCGGCAGGAGATGGTTTTTAATTCTCGCTGGACTCCGGTGGAGCGGTTTTCCCCTTCAGCCATCCCCAGGGTGGCCGTGGGCACAGTTCCTGGGGAAGTGGCGGAGCACGGAGTGGCTCCAGGCCGGGCAGGGCCCCGGCTCCTTGGCAGCCACCCGGCTTGACCCGGCAGCGCCGAGAAGCTTCCTGGCGCTTCTCCCTTCCTCCACGGTCATTAATTTGCCCTTCCCCGTGGAAGCGACACGTACTCAGACAGGTGCAGGCTGGAAAAGCCGGTGGCCACCGCGGGATGCTCGCCCGCCGGGACACGGGGGGGCTCGGGGGATTCCGGGGGGGCTGCGAGGCTCTCCCTACCCGGCCGCACACCTCGCTGCGGGGCTTTGCTGAGCCCCAGGACCCCTTTCCTTCCACGGGGGCTCAGAGCCGGGATGCAGCGAGGCCCCGTGGAGCCCCGGTGGGAGCAGGAGCGTGTCCCGGGCGCGCTGGCCCCGGAGCTCCCGGGCCGTGCCCTCGCCAGCAGCCCCGAGCTGCTGGGGCTTGCAGCGAGCTGGGCAAACGGGGCCCGTTCCGGGGCTGAACCGCAACCGCCCGCCCGTGCCCGCTGCGGGAAGGGATCCCACTGGTGTCGGGGATGGCAGCGTGTCCTTCCCCACACGCACCGCAGCCCACGGCCAGCACACCCCGGCCCCGGCCCTTCCAAATTCGTTCTCTTTTTTTTTTTTTTCCCCCCCCTCCCTTTTTTCCCCCTTTTTTATTTTTTTTTTTTTGGGGGGGGGGGGGGGCTTTATCTCCTTTTTCCCCCTTTCCTTGGCCGGCAAAACGCCGCAGCCCGGCCTTGCCGCCCCGCTCCGTGCCCGCCGGCGGCTGCGGGAGCCCCGCTCCCCTCTCCAGCCCGGCCGCCGCCGCCTCGGCCCGGCAGGAACGCGGCCGGAGCCGGGGAAGCGGCACGGGCAGACCCGGGGTGCCGGGGACAACCGGGGCAGCCCAGACACGGCGGCTTTCGATCGCTTCTCGGTGGCTTCGTTTGCAGAAGCATCCCCTAAACCGTGGTGCCCCCACAGCCACCCCAACGGCGCACCCCCGAAAGCGTTTTGCCTCTCCCCAAAAATCCCCGAGCGGCTCCGCTGGAGCGGGGCTGTTCCCCGCAGGAGCTCATTCCTGGGGGAGTCTGGGTGATGGAGATGCGGGGGGTTTTGGCGAGAAAACAAAAGCCGGGGTTGTGCGGGGCTGGGGCTGCGGGGGCACGGCCACCGAGCCCTCCGTGACCTTCGTTCCCCGCCTCGGCGACGGGGACGCGGCGACCGGGGCATCCTCCTCTGGCCAGCCGCGGCTCTCCCGGCTCTACCCGGTCTTCTGCCAGAAGACCGCCGCAATAACAGCGAGAAATAACCTGGGACGACGTTTTCAAACTGAAACCCGCCCGTCCCGGGAGCGGCTCGGTGGGGGACGCGGGGACAGCGAGAGTCCGGGATGGCTGGAAGAAATATTTCAATGAGTTGGAAACACTCGAGCTCCTGTTTCACCGGTGAGGCTGGGAAGAGCTTGTTTTTCCAACCTCGGGGTGCCCGGCGCGCCGTGGAACGGCGTCCTCGAGGCAGGAATTCACAGGCACCGCTTCGGCATTTTAGGCGACACGTGGCTCCGAGTTCCCTTCAAACGGATTTATTTTATTTGGTCTCCTGCTCCCCCACCCTACCCTCGAACGCCGGCTCCTCGGTAGCATCTGAAAGGCCTCTGCTCCCATTTGCAATTAAAGAGTTTATTGAGGAGGGGAAAACCGGTAATTAGCAGGAATATTCCCCCCCTCCCCAGTTCCACCTGCAGGGCAGGAGTGCAGCTGGCGGAATGGCTTCCAGCAGGGACCTGACGCACCCACACAAGTTTTGCTTTGTATTTTTTGCGGTGCCCTTCGGTGCGAGGGCTCCCCGGGATGGGTCCGCACCTCCAGCGCGGAGCGCCGCGCTGCTCTCACCCCATTATTTTATGGAATGTTTAAGACGACGCGCGTTTTCTCCCTCTCTCCATATTAATCTCATTAAATCCTACCTTTCAACCTTCTTCCGTGACCATCTGACCTGGCCACTTGAATTAAAATAGTGCTTTCTCCGCAGTCAAAGCCAGCACATCAATCACCGGCTATTTACACTTCGCTCCTCTCTTCAAAGCGCCTCTGCCCCAGCGCTCGCTACCTCCGCTCGGGGGGGCCGGCCAGGTCCTGGGGGGCTCCGGGGGTGTCTGTCCTTCCTCTCCCCCCTTTCCTCGGGTGGCTGGCGGCTTCCCCCGTCCCTGGGGAGCGCTGCCCCAGCGCGCTGCCTTCCACCTGAAAGGCAGAGCAGAGCGGCCGCCCTCCCTGCCCGACCCCTCCCGGCTGCCCGCGGGGTGCGGGGTCCGGGGCCCTCCCGGCGCGACAAACCGAGGGTAAAACCCCCGCGAACAGCGACAAACCCGAGCCGGGGATGAAGGAGAGAAGCTGCCGAAACGCTGGAAAAAAAATTCTGGTAGAAACACGAGAAATACCGACAAAACACAACAGCGCAAGTTGTGTTATTTTAAAAGTTATTATTTTTCAAGTTAGGCAACCAACCCCTGAGCCGAAATGGGAGAGAAAGCCAAAAGGAAAAAAAAGGGTAAAAAAAAAAAAAAAAAAAAGGAAGAAAATAAAGACAGACACTGGTTGAAAAGTTACGTAAATAAACATTTTTCAGATTAAAAACAAAAGCATGTCCATACTAGGAACGTTTACAAGATGACAACTACTAACAAACTTTCTCTACAGCATTGCTATTTAGTAGTAACAATAATAATAGAATAATAATAATCACCTCTTTATAGGATGGCACCTTGATCCTTAAATATTGTCCAGTGTGTAAGGTCAGTGTGCGGAGGGTTAGGAGCGGAGAGGGCTGATTTTTCTTAAAGGGGCAGATCAGGGGAAGGCTGTGATGGTGCCGGCAGAGAGGAGGGGGCAGAGATAAGTGGTCTGAGGAAGAGGATAGGACAAAAAAAAAA